ACGATACAATTATGAATACTATAACAAATAATATGATCTAATCGGCTGCGAGTACGATTTAGTTTTTATGTAATTAAAGAATTTATAGAGAGATCGTTGATTTCTAAAATTATAGATTGAATTTTTTAATGATATAGCGCATTTATAAATATTGTGGAAGATCGTGGACTTTAGATTTTGATAGATATTGACATTTAAAACATGATTTGGTAAATGGTGATAGATCTTTTCTATGTCGTCTCCTTTTTGATTAAATATCAGGTCCGTTTTTAACACACACGTAAATACATAATCGAATAATTTTAGATACTAATCTCGTATTTTGGATTCTGGAGATACCATTAAACATTTTGCTTGTATCATTTTACTTGGTATAGTCACAGACGAACTTTACATTTCGATATTGAAAGTTTGAAAACACTGTAACGAACAACAAAATCATATTGCTGGCGCATTCACTAGTTCCCCAACTCACCGTTATTTAAACGTAGAGTGCGCTAAAAAAATCAGTGATTTTTTTACTATGTCGGTATTTCAGGTCACGTGCTACGAAATCCCGTAAAATGCTTGGTCTATTCATATACCTCGTCTGCGATGAGGTGTACCTGGTCTGTGGAAATACTTTGATTTTTTCAGATCGATAACTATGTGCTACTGTTTTATTGGCACCATAAGCGAGTCACAGATGAATCATCATTTTACCATTGCACGATAAATTCGATTTTATCTACCGCTGTAAATGTAATTTAGGGCCAAGTTCCTTGAGTTATCTGTGCAGAATTCCCGAGAATTAAAGTTGTAAGTTATCGATGAGTTTTGCGTTGTTTTCAATCCAGTGAGAAGTGAATGATATGAGCGTCGTATCGTACGACGTTCTAATTTCTTCCGAGACCATTATGTATCCATAGTAGTTTACATCTGCGACATTTGCTGGTTATAGGCGTAAACCTGGATACAATATTAGCAGCTCGACGACCCATGAAGCTCCACACTAAATGTAAATCACTAAAAAGTAAACAGATTATTATTGTTATTGTTGATTAGATTACAAAATCAAAGAACACATTTCAAATTCTAAAAGTATAAAACTTAGAGAGTGATTAGAAAGTCGACCGATAAGATTTGCGTTTACGTGCAGTACAAAATAGTTTAATTCCTTGTAATATTCTAGTTCTACTGATTTCGATTCTGTGCTGGGATAAACTAAATGAAGAAATTAGTATATTTCACTGCAGAGGTTTACATACATGTGCTGGAAAATATCTTAGATGTAGTAGTATTATAATTGCTTGCTCTGTGAAGCAACACTAGTTGCAACAAAAGATGAAGCAATCAAATATCCAACGTAAATAACTGCATCGTGCACATACCAGCCAACTATTCCCTATAATTTTTATTGCTATTTTACTTGAAAAATTAAAGAAATTCCAAAACGCTGAATCTTTTATCTGAGACTATAACTCAGATACGGTGCGTGCCATTTACAATGGCAGTACCAGTGAATAATTAACAAGATAATTTACCGCTACTCTCCTTCTATATTTCCGTCAGATAGAAAGTTGCTTTCCTTCGGTGTTCCGTGTTTTTACATATTCAATGTATCAAACATGTTCAACATGAACAGTCGTCAAATACTTTACATAGTGGAACTGTTTGGAACATTCACGTGCACTTGGCCACCTGATCCGAATAGTAGTAAGAAACAAATTATTTTCCGCAATATACGATGGTTGTTCGCGATGTTAAATTTGATTTTATTGACGATATCCTTGACACTTGCTCTGTATTACTTTCGACATAATGTATCTATATTAATGAAAAGTATCTCTGAGCTGACTGCTTTGCTCGAGGCGGTCCTTGATTTAATTCTTTGTCGAATGAATAACGACCAACTGCAGGTTATTTGGATTTGAAAAGATAAAGATATTCCACGGTAAAACGATCAAAAAGTTTTTTTTTTTTTTAAATCGATCCAGGTCCTCATAGGAAAAGTGAAAACGTTCATAGAAGTGGCCAATGAATATGAAACTAAAACAATGGAAAGATACATGGCTCGTTACAAACAATTTCTCTCAATAACCGCATCGGCATATATCATATGTTCGATCTTATTCACTTTAGGGCCTTTTTTTTCGGCCCAAGAATTACCAATAGATGGGTGGCTTCCATTCTCCACTGAATCGTCTGGAATATATTGCATAGTTTACATTAATCACGTTTACTGTATTTATCTAACGACATTCTGCATCGGTGTAGACTTCATGATCGTCATTCTGTTCAGTTACTCTGCGGCCAAATTAAACATATTAGAAGTGAAACTACGACGTGTGAACGATTTCGATGTACTGGTAAGCTGCGTCAAGGAACATCAAGAAATAATAGGGTAAGATAAATCTGTCTTTTATTTAAATATAGTCGCAGTACATATTGAGTGATTCATTTAATAATCTTCAACAATTTAAATGAGATATTTCCGCACATGATCTTAGCATTTGAACAGCAAATTATATATGCCATGGTTAAATATACAGGATATCTTGTGACTCGTGGAAAACCGACTGATTCCAAATAAATCGAAAGGGAAAAATAGAATTGTTTCCGAAGCCTCGTTTTCAGAAATACTTTGAATTTTGATTTCTTAAGTATAGTATACATGAACTAATAGCTACATTTAAATACACTTAAACGAACGGCTGTAATTACCGTAGTAATCACAGTAGTAAATGTATAAGCAAAAATGTAATGCCGGTCGTTTAGCGAAAACCAAAAAACATTTTAACATAGCCGTATTTATTTAAATATTGAATTAATTAAATTAATGAAATATTTAATCGATTAATTAAAACTGAAAGAAGTGAATAATCGGTAAAAGATTATTCTACGTAAAAAAAAAAAAAAAAATGTAGAACATAACGTTTTCTTAAAATATTTTATTTTCGAGAAAATTAATGAAGTACACGTGTATACATGGCAATCAAACTCTATTTTCTCTAAAATAGTGCCTGCAACGAAAAATATTTATTCTACATTTTTTACTTACTTCTGCACATAGAATAATTCACTCTTGTCCAGTGCAGAATAAGTCAAATTTCAAACTCGATTTTCTCGAAAGAGAAGGCTTTAATGAAAAAATTTGATTCCTTCTTTTTTATTCATTTTGAAATGTAGAATGTTTCTCCCAGTCGAGTTGCAGATCTGTATATAAGAAACTACTATAGGAATCATGCGATCAATTTTCATTCACTTCTATTTCTATTTCTGCGTTATTTTTCATTTTTATTTTATATTTCTCGATACATTCGTTAATTATGTGAATCTGATCTTTAGTGGATATTTGCATGTGTATAATAATGGAATAAATAACGATTTATGAGACTAGTTATAATACCATAATTGTATAAATTTCAATATCTATAGTATTTAAGGATTAAGAGAACTAAAGTACTTACTGTCTGTCACTTTAACAATGGCATTTGAGACAGTACAGATGTAAAAAATATATTACTTTTACTCGTTCACTGTCATGCTGCATGATGTACTCGTGAAACTTTCATTCAATATTCATATCTGTTTTAATGTATTAGGTACATAAGAAATTATTAACTCGGCAGTGCACACGTGAATTTCCGAAGTGGAATACTTTATGCATCCCCTGTAAAAAGTAACATTTATTGACCACAAAATACGAATGCGCGTATGTTTTCTTTATTAAAATAACGGCAATGAACACGTATAATGCAAATAGACATATGCAAATATTAACATTGCTCCAGAGAATCTGAGAAAAAGTTCGTAGTTGTACAAATTAAATAATAATCTAATTATCAGTCTGCTGGACTCCACTTGTATGCTGCCGAGTTAATTAGACCCGTATTTCTTCCAAGTGTCTTCTAAATCACAAACAATAAATTTTTTCTCATAAATATACAAATGTGCCACCTGTCACTCTGTACAACTGTTACACAATGGTAATTTATATTGCTGACAGACTGATTGTACTGACGTATTCAGTTGCTTTATTTAAACTTCGTTAAATCTAAATTTATATGTCAATATTTCACGTTGCTACTTCACGTTAATATATATCTAGTAAACGAATAATATGAGTCAAGTATTTTTCGACTTTTCCTTTTATGTAATTAATAGTCCATTAACTGCGTAGAATGAAAGCAGTGCCTCGTACTGCATTTATTATTTAAAGGTATAGAATAAGCAATGATTGAGAATTAGATGAATAAATTGAGATCGTGTCATGGTTAGATTTGTGGAGGATACTAAAACTACTATTGAAACTTTATTATTCAAAACGAACGCCACGATGGGAAGCGCAGTGATATGCGGGGGTTTCCCCTTGATTTATGTGAGTCTAACTTCCTTGACAGGTTTTTCTTTCTACACCATTCGCATTATACATTGCTCAATTTTAAATGAATATTTTTTTAATTTTAAATGATATTCAGAATCAATCATTGACCGTAATGGGCAAGTTTATTTTTGTGATGATATCTGGCTGCACCCGCATGTACGTCAACGCCTGGCCAGCAGATGATTTGCAAGAATGTGTAAGCCAGCCAATAGTAATGTTGTTAGAACATCTCATCTAGTATGCGCTCCTTCTCCATATACTTCTCCTACAATAAAATGCAAGGATTATAACCGATAATTTAAAAAAGGCATAGAATAAAAAAGACAATTTTTTTTTTGATCAAAATGTACCAATTTAATTATAAATAACGATTATAAGTGCCCGAACAATTTTTTCGCCAAGTA